GAAAATATGTTTATAGTGCGACTTTGTAAGCTGGCATTCAAATTCAAGTGTGAATATTGTAGACAATTGTAAATATTAGAGAGTTTAAGCTGATTTGAGATTATTTTAAAGTTGGTTTCTCAGTTGTTTCCCAGTTATCTGAATGATCAGCGATAATACAATGTAATGTAGCTCAGAACTTATTTGTGCTTTATTATTCATTCCAATCTAAAATAAATGTCAAATTCTAAAGCAAAATCATGTAAGAAGCTAATTCAAGTCTTAAAACTTGTTTACATTTTTATTTTTGAAGAGCCAGCATGGACCAGCCCTGTTGTTGTTACTGGCGGCCCTAAAAAGTAGGAAGTTGGCAAGTTGGCCGTGAAAATGCAGGCAAGCACAAAATGAGATGCAGACGCTGCCCAAAATTGAAGCGGCATATAAAAATGTAAATTTTTTAGACATACCACCACCACAAGACAGCCAGCCAGTCAGTCCGTCAAGTCAGTCGGAAAGTGTAACAAAAGCAGGCGAAGAAGGCAGGTTAATGCACTGCCGCATATCATTTGCATACAATTTACGGCCAATGAAGATAACAAACAAAAGGCAGCAGCATTATTAACAGTTAAAACAATTGTTTCTACTGTTAATTTAAAATGGCGTGGCCCATCCATCATTCAATGCTCCAACAACTCGCTCACTAGTCGCGTGACTTACATATTTTTGGATTTATTTTTTAAGGTAGGGGAGGAGGGAAAGGATTTGTGCAACTTTTACAAATTAAACTACTGGTGCCTGTCACTTGGCGATTGGCAACAAATTTGCCAGAAATTCTACAACTCTGTTTGACAACGTGACCGCGTACTCGAATGGTATGTTTGATGAACAACGCTACTTTGCTCGGCGATTGCATCGCTCCATGTTTATTTAATGGGCGGGTTGTTGGCTGCCTGACAAACGTCACCAGCTCCACTCTATAAAGAGTTATAATAGGTGCCCCCACACAGGCAGGCAAGGCAGGCACTAAACAGAAAACGGACAATATTGCGACATTTGCAGGCAAACCAAAAAACCCATTCACTTTTCTGTCAGCCAATTGTCGAGCGGAAAACGTGCAGAGAAAAAAAATAATAAAACAAAACAATTGCAAATGATATTTGTTGTATTATTTTGTATTACTAGACTAAATTTGTAATGTCGCTGGCGTCGGCATTAATGCGCACTTTTTAAATGCGCTTAAAGTTTAAACAATTGCCAGCCATTTTGCTCGAGGCGGATGTTCGTTCTTTTGATCTAAGAGCCCGTCGTCCACGTCATGTTTTTGTATTTGCGGTTACTGATTCGTTTGAGACACCTGCAAGGTAGCGGCGGCTAGATCAGAAATATGAATATACAAACTATATATTGATTTGCTGTTTAGCAATCATTGGCAGCAGCTGCAAAGAGCGCACGCCCAGAGCTCAAATTCTATTCAAAGGCAGTTGATCATACTTTGTTATGAAGGGGAAGAAGAAACAGCATTTAACCTGATATTTGATCACAAATGAGAATTCACTTCTTTTGGGCAACGTTAAAGCATGATGAGACGAATCCAAATCTTCTATGACAACGCCAGAGTTATCATATTTCTATGTTCTAAGATTCTCTGAACCAAGTAGGCATTCGAGGAGACTGGTTGCCAAATTTATAAAACATATTCATAGAGCGTTATCCAAAGATAATGGGCGCATTCGCCAGAGTAAACTAATCAGTCAGTTCAATAAGGCTGCTAAGCTTAGATGTGATAAGTAGACGTAGAAATTATTTATGAACATCTGGTGCAATCGAAGCATTCGGAAGGCAAGTTTAATTTATTAATAGTAGCATATTAACTTTCTAATTGTAACTAAACATAAATATACATTAAAATAGTACACTTTAATTGTTTTCTAATGAAGCATCCCCTATTATAACGACCTTAAAAAGAGTCCCGACGCATTATTAAGTGTTGCATAAATTAGTCAGCTTTGAGTTGTCTCTTCGTAAATGTTTTTTTGGACGCCAACGCTGTCCCTAGGGGTTTTTGTAAGGGCACCATTTTAAATTATACTGGAATCTTGCAATCTCGAAAATATATTCGTTTTAAATAAATGAAAGAGCTTAAAAATCCATACGCAAAAGTCAATGCGATTCGATATTTTTTTATACCTTGTGCTGAAAGGGTAAAAAAACTGTACTTAAACATGTGTCTCATTACTTATACATATATGTATTTATTGAATATTTTTTATTTAATTTATATAATTTTTTATAAATTTATTTTTAATAAAAAGTTTTATAAGTTTAAAATTTTGTATGGGAGTGGGTGGTTAAAGAGTTGAGTTCGACTCTAGCATTGCTTTCCTTTTTAAATTACATATTTGATAAAGATAAGGATTTTACTGTTGGGTTTATTAGACTACAAATTAAAAAAAAAAAATCATCATTTTAAAGAATGAGCACTAAAATAAACATTCCTTTTCAAGGGCGCACGCAGGAAGGGGACAGGGGAGCCGTTCCCCCCTACAAAAAATGTTGCCCTATATAGAGTTGACCTCACGTTCATTATTATCACGCGCTATTCATTGATCATATGAAAAAATTATTTTTGTTTTAAATATTTATACTTTTGACTCGGTTAACTTGCTACTACTGTGTACAATAATCTTTTGATCAAATCAAGCGGGATTCTCGATAAGGACGCATCTCTTTATTTTTAAGTTGGCATCTTGTAGTTACGTTTGGTAAACACCTAAAAATGATTTTCTTCGATCTTTGAAATGTTGCTTATTAAATTTTCCACTTTGTGCTCCGAAACATAAGTTTTGCATTATTTGATTAAACTCTTCGTGGAAATTGCAAGGCCTCAGGGCTTAAATCAATCGCTGGCTTATAATCTTCATGCAGATTACATCTGACCTCGTCAGCTCTTATATATCTTATGAATCGAACTAGAGTAGCAATTTTTCGCACTTTAGTCCACTAATATGCTTGGCCACCTTCGCTTAGGCTTTTAGTACTTTATGGCCACCTATAATTTGTCTCGATATTGTCCGAGAAGGCAGCAGCGTGTTGGCGCATGCGCGGCCGTTGCTGAAAGTCTACAATTTGAGTTTGAGTTTGACTTCTTGGCCTCGGGAGCACGTACAAGTCGTTGTTCATATAGTAGTAGTTGTTGTTGTTGTGTTTGTTGTAATGAATGCTCACTGAACGGTTTATGGTCTGTAGAAAACGCTATTAAAATCGCATGGCTTGGTAGCTTTCAAATAATTTGCACCAAAAATGGTCAAAGAACTGACAACAGAGTCGCAACAGACAGTCCTTGCCAGGTACAGACAAATCCATGGATATTGGAGCGGGAGGTAGAGTGGTGTGGGAAATAATGCTCTCCAACAATTAGATGCCATCTATCTAAATCAGTTAGCGCGCTTAACCTCAGGCATTCGGTGCCTCAATCGAATGGATGACAAAATTAAAATTCATTTACGCTCAAGTAAATATTTACGCAATAAATTTGCATTTAATTGCATTTTCACAGTGCCAGGTAGCTAGGAAGGCAGGCAGGCAGGCAGCAGTTGTGCCACAAATCGCGTCAAATGCCGCAAAACATTTGGCTAAAATCAAATCAAATTAGAAAACTGCCACCGTGCAATTGGAAGTATTGCCAACCAGACCAATGAGAATAACTGACAGCCATTGTCAGTCAAATCAACCAAAACAATTTGCAATGGTGATGATGTCGATGTTGAAAAATCTAATCAAATTATACGCTAAAATACAAAAAAGCGGAAGGAGCAATTAACAGTAGATTGGCCGAATATTATATGCTCTCTGTAAATTAATCGCCGGATCAATAATGGCATATATTAAAAGGCAAATTATGTTCCTACTTTTCCTCACTCACTCTGCTATTGAAATATATATGTACACTATATTTAAGACTATTTTTTTTGTTGATTGCGCAAACATCAATAAAAGCTCGAGTCGGTTAAAGCTTAAATTGGATAAAAGCGACTTTAAAATATTATTTAAAAATGATAAAAAGCAAATATTTCAATAGGTGTGTCCAGCAAACGAACTTAATAATTCTTCTATTAATTTTATAAAAAAAACTCTATATCCACTATTAATCTGCCGTACTTTAAACGAACCTCCGACTGTAGACAAGTTGTTAATGAAATATTTCATCAACCATCAGGAAACATTTCTCAACTAAACTATTATACCTTTTTTTTTTAAATTAAAATTAAATTTCAAAACGTCACATAATTCTAGAAACATTTGATCTATAATCTTTGTTATATTTATTGCAAGCCTACTAACGGAATGAAAATACTCTTTGTAAGGGTAGATGCACGCACCTGCCACAATTTGCTCGGCCTCACCCTAGGGGCAAGGTATATTAACAAATGATTGAGAGAGTGCTTCAATGAGCTGGTCAGGGAACAATCATCACCTGTCCAAAAATCAAATCAAAACTGCACAAAATAAGAAGCACCTCACACACACATACGGACGCTCGCACAATTCATTTGCAAATTTTATGCAAAAGTGTTTTGCAAATATAGTCGTGGCATGCCACCCATGGCAGTGCCTGCGAGTCTGATGTACGAAGCGTGCAACATTAACAGCGAGATGGAGAAGCGTGCGCGCATTTTTCAAACGCTTCAATGGACGCTGGTCAAAAATTGAAACTGAAGTTGGGGGAGAGACAAGGGGCAGGGGCAGGGGCAGTGGCAGTAGCAGCAGTCAGTCAGTCTAAAATGTTTTTATGCGGTTCGCTTAATGTGTTTTAGCCATAAACCAAAAATTCACAATTCAGCAGCAATGGCAACGGGGCAACAATAAACAATGACAACAACGTTGGTAGTACTAAGTGAACTGAGCTGGCTGGTCTTTATTTGGTCTAGAGTTGGTTGAAAGGCTGTTAGATAGGTAGGGTGATTCCGCAACTTCTGAGTCAGGTGCGGATCGAAAAATCTCGCAATAAAAAACCGAATGGCTGCTGACTCGACTAAGTCGGAAAACGAATTTTATTATAATAATGTGCTTAGCCTAGGGGTGGGCGTGTGTCTTTTTTATGCACACAATCGATACCTCAAATTCATTCGATATCTGCTACATTTCAATTACATTTTGTGGGTTCCTTATCATTCAGCTATTTACATAAACCACGAAATATCGGTTGAGTAATTCAATTCTGTTTACAATACTACTAATTATAACAAGGTATTTACATAAATATTCTCCCGGCCATGAGGAATTAATGTAACTTTAACTTATATCAGCTTTCGGCGTCAACATACTCCCGGCCTTGGAAGCTCCTTCCAACAATCATCTCGTCAGTCTGATATCGGTAGTGGGCAAAGCTTGTGTATATTCCGCTTAAACAATCCCGCCTTTGTTTTCACCGTGACGACCCGAACAGCTCCGTCAGCGCCAGGATGAACTTCTTGGATTCGACCCAGTACCCATTGTCCTGGGGGAGTATTGTCTTCTCCAATAAGAACCAAGGTCCCGCGTTGTAGATTGTTGCACGTCGATGCCCATTTTCTCCTTTCTTGCAATAAAGTTAAATACTCCAGCGACCAGCGTCGCCAGAATGAGTGATGCACCGCTACGATTCTCTTCCATCGATTCGTTACTGATAATTTCAGAATATCCTCATCGCACGCTTCGGTCATAGCGTTTAACGGACGTCCGATTAAGAAATGACCTGGCGTTAAGGCTTCCAAGTCATTTGGGTCTGAAGACAATGGACAGAGTGGCCGCGAATTCATAACGGCTTCAGCTTGTGCAATGGCCGTGGCGAGTTCCTCATAGTCTAGCGCCGTTCCATTAAAGCACCGCACCAACAGCTGCTTAGCCACCTTCACAGCGCTTTCCCAAAGCCCTCCAAAATGGGGCGAGCGAGGGGGTATAAAATGAAATTGAACCCCGAGGCTGCTGCATTGGTTTTCGATTCGACGTTTGCCAGTTTCGTTCCACATACGATCAGTCAGCTCTTTTACTTCACGAGCTGCGCCAACAAAATTTGTGGCGTTGTCGCAAAATAGCTCTGCGCTGAGTCCACGGCGCGCAAAAAAACGTTTGAGGGCGGCAATAAATGCATTTGTGCTAAGGTCCGACACGAGCTCCAGATGGCAAGCCTTTGTCAGGAAGCATACAAAGACACACATATACATCTTGGTTGGACGTCGTCCTCTCTGGTGGAAATGCATCCAAAACGGGCCGGCGAAATCCAATCCTGCTCGTTGAAACGGATTCACACCCGTTTGTACTCTGCTCGCTGGCAGCGAGCCCATAATCTGGTTTGCCGCTACTGGGCGCTGGCGAAAGCATGCCAAGCAACTCCGCACTGTCTTGCGAGCTAGCTTTCGAGCATTAATGACCCAGTACCTTTGTCGCACAAAAGCGCATAATGCATGCGCTCCGGCATGCATATTAGTTCGATGTGTGTACTCAAATAAAGCGGTTATAACAATATGATTATTCGGCAATAAAATTGGGTGCTTTGTGTCAAATGGTACATTAGCTTGAGACAACCTGCCACCTACCCGAATAATTTCTATCCCGTCAATTACGTCTAGGAACGGATTGAGCGCTTGTATTTTCGCGGATCGAATAAGCTTGCCATCGTGCAATTTTACGATCTCTTCGTGAAAACTCAAACTTTGCAAATTAAATATTATGTAGTTTAATCCACCCTTTACTTCAGAGGCTGTCAGCGGCTTGGATTTAGCTAATTCAATTTTTGATATGACCCGACGCCAGCGACAAATATAGCCAAACACGCGAGTCAACTTAACAAAATCTCTTGCATATTTACATTTGCTAACGATATCCTCCACAAGCCTTTGGGGACTGGCTACTAATGTGAATTTAGAATTACGTTGCTCGGGAAGTGAATCAGAGCGATTCCAATGCACCGCGGGCCACTGCTCTTCTGGCTGCTGCAAGAATTTAGGACCTTTCCACCACAGCGACGAGTTTCTCAATTCGCTCGTATGCAGACCACGAGACACTATGTCTGCTGGGTTAAGTTTCGATTCTATCTTAAACCATTCATCTATACTAGATAATTCGTGGATTAAAGCGACCCTATTTGCAACAAAGGTGGTCCATCGGCTAGAATGAGAGGCAATCCAATTAAGCACGATGGTAGAGTCTGTGAAATACCTGACGCTAGAAACATATCTAGGAACACACTTCTTAACCTTGGCCATCAGCTGGACCAACAGTCTGGCGCCCTCAAGTTCTAAACGAGGTAGCGATGTGACACGAACTGGTGCTACCTTGGATTTTGCCGCCACCAAATTGACAGATATGGTTCCTAGCTTGTCTATAACCCGAGCGTATATGGCTGCCCCAAAGGCACGGCAGGACGCATCCGAAAATCCATAAAACTCAACCGTGTCTATTTCCCCTGAATTTGGGATGACAGCTCGAGGCAACGAACATTCGTGTATGAGTTTTAACTCGCTACGATATTTTTTCCACTGTATGGCATGACTGGGTGGCAAATCCTCGTCCCAACCCTGCTTCAATAGCCATAACTCTTGCATGAAAACTTTACCTAATATAATAATGGGGCTCAAAAACCCAAGCGGGTCAAATAATTGCGCTAGCTCCGATAATACTACGCGCTTAGTGACCACGTCCGAGCACTGCGCACCGTAAGCGAATTGGAACTTGTCACTAGTCGACGCCCAACGTATCCCAAGCGTTTTTGCAGCGTCGGTAACTTTAAGTTCCAACGGCTCGGTGCTCTCATCATGAGAGGCAAATTTGAAATTAGAGCGCCATTTATGAAGTTCAAATCGCCCTAACTTTAACAACTCTGTCACTTGCTGTTTTAACTCTTTTAGCTCATTAATGGAGTCAGCTCCGCAGAGCATATCGTCCATGTAAAAGTTGCGCTTCACTGCTTCACTAGCTAAAGGATATTGATGACCAGCCTGCTCAGCTAAATAATATAAGCAGCGAACTGCCAGGAATGGTGCTGAATTTGTACCGTATGTTACAGTTTTCAGCCGCAGTGTCTTTACAGCTTCAGTACGCTCTTGTCGCCACAAAATACACTGATAATTACAGTCACCAGATTCTACTAAGATTTGTCTATACATCTTTGAGATGTCAGCTGTAAGCGCATACTTGTAGAACCGGAAACGAGTGAGTATATCGAATAAGTCCGGCTGCAAGGTAGGGCCTACTAACATGATATCGTTCAATGAGAGCCCATTGCTCGTCTTGCATGAAGCATCAAATACGACTCTTAATTTAGTCGTTGAGCTTTCTGGTCGAATTACTGGGTGGTGAGGCATCACGTATCTAACATTCTGTACCTGTTCAGACCCTACCTCCTCTAAATGATCCAGCATCCGATATTCTTCTATGAATTCTGTGTAACTCCTTTTGAGTTCTGGATTACGAATGAGTTTTCTTTCAAGGTTCAAAAACCTGGTGAGAGCAATACTATAAGACTCTCCTAATTCCTCTTTGGGTACTTTAAAGGGCAGACGTACCACGAACCTATTAGCAGCTGTCCTTCTCACAGATGAGACAAACTGCGTTTCGCACGTCTGCTCAGCCTCTGTATACCTGTTTTCTGGCTGTGAAATCTCTTCACACTGCCAAAATCTTTGCACCAACTTGTGCAGTTTTCTTGTATCCTCTTGGTCGGAACTTGGTACTCGACTAACAATTAAGGCATTCCTTTCACTTGTTATACATTCACCTACAACAATCCAACCTAAAAGAGATTTTTGAAGTAATGGCTTATTTATGCCCATTTTAATTTGGCCTGCTACGATAAGCTTAAAGAACAAATTAACTCCGAGCAGCATAGATATTTCATTAGCTGAATCGAAGAAGGGATCTGCCAGCTTTACTTTTGATGGCACGAAAAAGCCTTCTGCTGACGCGCTTGTTGCCGGATTGTATCGCGTTATTTCCTGCAATACACTGAACTTGTCTGTAGCTACGAAATTTGTTGCCCTGGACTTGATGGTAGTCTGAACTTCACCTAAAATTCTCGACTTGGCATTTCCTATTCCATTTAGCGAGTATTGAACATCCTTTATATTGAGTTTCAACTGTGATGCCAAACTGGTGGTTATGAAATTCAACTGACTACCTGAATCTAGTACGCATCTGCATTGCGAATATTTACCGTTCGAATTCTGCACAAGAACTACCGCCGTTGCCAAAAAGCTTGTTGTCCGACTTGGCAGTATCGCACTATGCAGTGAGCTAGGATTAGCTTGCCTACTGACAGGACAATTGCTTGAACCTTCCACTTCCATTGCTGATCTATGAAGCAACTCATGATGTGGCTTGTTACAAGCCGAACAACGCTGCGCGCTGCAATCCTTTGTTTGATGACGCTTACTAAAACAGACAAGACATATTCCAAATTTTTTAACTTCGTAATATCTTTGCAACGGTGACAATGACTTAAACTTTGGGCACATCTTCAAGTGATGTGAACTCGAACAACTATAACACAAGTTAGTTGCAGTATTTCCCAATGCAGCAGTTAGACTGGCCCTTTTGCTGTCACCCTTAGCATTTGATTTGGCAATGACTGCCTTTCTGACTTCTCGCCCGGCTAGATTAATTCCTCTATTGCATAAGAATTGTGCTAGCAGCTGCCAAGAAGGTAGCTTGGCGCAATCATATTCGCTCTCCCACTTCTCTAGTGTTTCATCGTCCAACTTGCTACGAACCAAATGGAACACGAGGGCCTCAAGAATTTCCCCTTCATTGCCTAGAGATCGAAGGGCTACAAGTTGCGAATTCACTGCATCTACCAAACTGCCAAGTGACTCTGCGTCTGCATTCTTAAGTCGACGAATATTGAATAGCTCACTCACATGCGATTGTACGATAATAGCTTTATTTTCAAAACGATCCCTAAGTAACTGTAAGGCCTTCCTATAGTTGACTGCAGATAATTCCAAGCACTCTATAGTTCTCAATGGGACAGCGCTTAGACATGACTTCAAATGAATAAACTTTGACAGCTCATCAATGTCATGGTCTGCCTCAATCAAGGTAGTGAATGCGTTGTACCAACTAGTCCACTCTGTATATTTGCCAGAGAATTCTGGCAGCTTCAACATTGGCAATTTACCTACTCGGGAAACTGCAGCACCATTTAGCAATGTTGAATTGGCCGATGGATCTGTTCCGATTACTGAATGACGCCCCCTTTGTGTCAAGTAGCTTAAAATCTTCGCCTTTATATCACAATACATATCTTCTATAACTTGACGTGTTTCGTATTGGCTGGCATCTTCAATTTTTGTCTCAACTTGGCTCTGGATGTCACATAATTGCGTGAAAATTGATTCAACTAAGCTCAAGCGCGCCTCTAGCTCTGCTGCAGTCATTGACTGGCAATTGTTTATAACATAATCTTTATTACGATTAAGAGAATTCATTAAACTTTCGCGCGAAGAATAAAACTCCATTTCTTTCATGTTTCTTTTTGGAGCCATTTTATTTTTATTCAATTACCCCTCAATAATAATATTAGTTAATATTAATATTATTATAATCTTAACCAGATTAATAGGAGCCACTAGAAATTTTGACTTTTTTATACAAACAAACAACGAATTAGTCCCACTGTACCAACTGTACGAGCCTACAGACGAATATATGACCAAATTTAATGTTCGTGTAGGTATGTATTTATGTGCGTTTAATTATACCGCAACAACTCCTATCTACGCCAACAACAACAACAATGTTTGAGAGCAGCAACAGCTTCAGCTATTCTAACTGTTTCTCAAGAAGAACAGCAAGAATTTCGTTGCCTTACTTTTGATGCTCTCAGTACATGTGCACTCAAAATCAATTCAAGGTTAAACGGTAAGTAGTTGCCGCTTGCATTTACGTATACATACATATATATGTATGTATGTACAGCATATGTATATGAATTAACCTCTTCGCGAATTTTTCACAACACGTGTCTCACCAATGTACCACTGTATGCCGCGTAAATATTTCAATTATATTTTACTTACAATATTTGAATAGTCAACACATCAAACTGAGAATATGTATATGCCGTGCAAAAATACTAGGAGCACCATGCAGAAAACTACTCACAGTCGAATGTTAGAGTTGAAGCTGCACTCCAATGTGCACCAGCATCCAATCTCCAGGCTGATATATGTCCAAATATGTTAGAGCTCCAACAATGAGCTCCAATCGGGTTAGAACTTTGTCCAAGAAGTCCCTGCTCGGGCGCCAAATGATTCCGCAACTTCTGAGTCAGGTGCGGATCGAAAAATCTCGCAATAAAAAACCGAATGGCTGCTGACTCGACTAAGTCGGAAAACGAATTTTATTATAATAATGTGCTTAGCCTAGGGGTGGGCGTGTGTCTTTTTTATGCACACAATCGATACCTCAAATTCATTCGATATCTGCTACATTTCAATTACATTTTGTGGGTTCCTTATCATTCAGCTATTTACATAAACCACGAAATATCGGTTGAGTAATTCAATTCTGTTTACAATACTACTAATTATAACAAGGTATTTACATAAATATTCTCCCGGCCATGAGGAATTAATGTAACTTTAACTTATATCAGCTTTCGGCGTCAACATAGGGTATAGTGTTGCCAACGTTTTAGAGGGTAAAAAATCTGTTTTTGACGGGAAGGAGAGTAAATAAAGCTAAATTTTTTTTTTTTCTTTTTTTGTAAAAAGAAATGCTTAGAAAAATGTATTTTCCAAGATTTTTCTTGCTTTGGCAGCTTTACAAAAGCAATTTTGTTTTTCCCCTAAAACGATCCATAGAACGTCTGTGTTTCTTTGTAAGTGAGCCAAACATCTCGGTTTTTTTCATTGTATTCTTTCGACATGAATGCATTCCCATCTTTAGTGATGTCATGTGTAGTATAACCATAACAGTTTGTTCGTCAATACGTAGGCTCCACTTCTACCACTTCTAATCAAAAAAAATAAAACAAACTCGTATAGCGTACACACATAAGGCATCTTTGTGTAAAATTTGGTGTCTCTAGCTCTTATAGTCTCTGAGATCCAGGTGTTCATACGGACGGACAGACAGACAGACAGGCAGGGCTAGATCGTTTCGTCATGCTGATCAAGAATATATTAACTTTGTGGGGTCTGCCACGCCTCCTTCTGTCTGTTAATTTTTTCAGCTCCCGCAAACCTAATATACTCTTGTACATTTCATGTACAGAGTATAAACACTGCATTGGTTTTTCGCCATTTTTCCTAGGGCATGAAAAAGGGGGGTTTTCCGTGGAAAAATTGAAACACAATCCACACCACACAGTCCAAACTCTAAGAGCTAGGAAGCTGAAATTTGAGCTCACGTATCCCATCATAGTGTAGTGAGCAATAAGAAGGGATTTTGGAAAATTCGAGCTCCAAGTGGGGAAAAACAAGCTTTAAAAATATTTGTTATAGTGGTCATGTGTGTGTACGTTTAACGAAATATTTTGGCAGCAACAAAAATGTAACGGACTACTAAACAATTTTTTGTCAAGAACAGAAAATGTTCATTTAAATACGTTAAATATCTTTGTACTGGTAACTAATAAGGTGAAATCATATGGGTAGGTCATGCACACACAAAATAAATACAATTTGAAACATTATATATTGAGTCGGGTTAAGACGGGCAATACCTGCTAGTTAGTACATAAGTCACTTTTTGTACAACAAGAGCTCATTGGACCATCATCATTTACCACATATGATAAAAAAAATAATGATAAAGCTGCCCCGTTTCCACTTTTTTTTTTTTAATATGTATTTGCTGGCAAAATTACAAAAAAGCGGAAAAATAGCTAAATATATTTTTAAAAAGCCAGAATTCTCGCTTTCCGCAATTTCGAATATTTTCCCGCAATCTCATTTCAAGAACTAGATTTGACGGGAAAAATGCCAAATTGGCAACACTGGTAGGGTAGGTATGTGACCGGAGGGGCAGAGGGATTGGGGGATTAGTGCAATGCATTTTCGCGCATTTTGACTGTCATGGAATTGGTTGTTGAGCGGTTCGCTCGCTGCTTGGCATCCATCAAACTCAAACTACTTTTGGGGTATAAACAACTACAAATGACACGGATGCCTGTCTGCCTGCCAGCCTCATAGTCTGCCAACTTATTGTGTTGGGTTTTGTACGAGCAGAGTATTTGTATTGTGCGCCGTTTTAACGCCTAATTGCATTTTTGGCATACACACCAATTAAGTTTGTTGACCAAATATTTGGGTGTAATTGAAAAATATATTTTCGAAATACGTCTAGTTATTTATTTATTATTTCCTGCCAAGCCTACAAAATTAAGGCACTGAAACGTCTTTGCTTCGCATAAGAAACGTGCGGCTACGTTTTTATACGTTGCTTCTTTTATTTTTAATGCGGTTTTACGACGCTTGCGTTTTTATTGCATGGCAATTATTTTAGTATTGGCTGCCTGGGAAAATTACAGAGTTGGTAATTGTAAAAGACTTAATTGTAACGGCAATCATGAAAGCCGTTGTTGCTAACTTGGCTAAGTCAGTCATTGCTGTGGTTTCTCACTTGTTCGTTGAATACAATTTTTTTTTCATTATTATTATTATTTTTTTTTTGCATATTAATCATGCGAATGTTGCTGGTTGCCAGCCAATCTTTGTTTAACTTTCATGCTGATTTAGTCACATTTGCTTTAATTGTTTTAATGCTGCTACGATTGGCAATTCAATTTGAGTGCAGCAGCAGACAACTTGCTTGAATTGGCAATCAAATTAGCAGCAGTCGGCAAATCTATTGACCCCCACAATAACGCACAATAATTACAAGCAAACCATTTATAAATCTCAGCGTCATTATTAAGAGAAAAGCAGAAACAGAAATCAAAAGTAATTTTCACAAATTGCAAAAAAGCCAAAGGCACAACCAACTAGCAAACAATCGTTTTGTCATACTTAAGTATTTGGTCGAAATGGAAGCGAGTGTGTCCTTTCGTCCAGAGCAGGAGCATCTGGATGCAGCGGCAGATGTGCAGCCTAATAGAGCTGCACAAGAACAACAGCAACAATGGAGCGAGTGTTGCGGGCATAAATCTGACACGTTGCATGAAATTAATTTGCAACGGAGCGTGGGGGGGGGGGGGGAGGAGGGGTGAGAGCCAGATGAGCCATCACAAAACATTTTAGTGCCTGCAGGCCATTGGGACGAACGCACACACACACACACACACACACACATAGATATGTACATATATTAATTAATGCAAAATTGCATTACGCATACGCACAGGTGTGCAGCTATTGTGGCAGGCCATGCATCTATGTATACTTATATATCGTATTCCGGCACATGCCTCGAACACATGAAAAAGAGTCGTAAAATAAAAACACTTTGGCAATAAAGAAAACAAACTAACGAAGCCGGCAGAGGCAGCCAGCCAGCCAGATACAGACCGACCAACCAACCAAACAACAAACAATAGCAATAAACATTTAGATACAAAATTAAGGCGCATTGGGATAGACACGAGACACATGCACACTACCCCCCATATATAGTATGTAGAGAATATACTGGCCAGTGGGTGTCGAAGAAAACAGAGCACACGTCACAGACAACATCTAAAGCAAGTTTTGGGGCCAGCCTGGCAGCCACTTAGGCGCACTCCGTGGCCATGCCACATTATAGCTTGTGTATAGCTTTGACTCAAGCACACTCACTGAGAGATTGTCGTCATGGTTACTGTTTGCAACACATGCAACAGCAGCAGCAGCAACAGCAGCAGTGCTAGTGGCAGTGGCAGAAACAGGACCTTCCAATACGACTTAGTCTCGCCTCACTAAGCTGTGCCGCTGCTGCACAATAAACCACACCATATACAAAATATAAAGAAAAATTTGCAAATTCTGCTTAATGCTATTTTATAATAGTTTTCCTCTATGGTTATGACAATGCCGTCGACACTGCACAGTGGGCTGAAAGCAGCAGTAACATGAAAACTTTGAAATCTATTCAAAGGCAGCCCTGCTTTCAACTTCAATTTTTCAGCTACCATTTCTTATACCCAAAGGGTAAATGGGTACATGCACTTGGTTTGTACAGATATCCAACATATAGAAGGATGAATAAATAATATAAGAATATAGAAATATACATAAGAGCTAAAATGACCAAACTTAGTACACCTGGCCCTTGCTTAACACGATATCTTCAAAGTTTTCTACATTTTCTCTTTTAACACGCTGAAAACCTCATTGTTACACCATAGCTTGGAAAGACCATTCCAGTTGATAATAATACTTTTTTTTACATTATAAGATGGGCTACAAAAATCCGTTAAAAGCCAATAAATAATCCACACACATATTTACCACGAAAACGGCTTACATATAATTCGAATATATGCCAATGCCACTTGCCAGCTGCTTTAACATTTTTTACGCTTACAAATATTTTCCGTTTTAATAAGATAAATCACTTAATCATAAATATTCAACACTCAACTTTTTGTTAATTTTGAAAATGTTTGAAGCTTAAAAACACCAGAAAAACAAAAAAAAGTTTTGTTTTCGTGCATTTGTCGAATTCTAGGAACGTAACCCCTTATTTTGTTTATTTAAAAATATTAATAAACATTAGACCAGACAAATAATACATGGGGTTCCGGCATTTAGGTTTAAAAAGTGAGTTGCAGATCAGCATTTTCCTTGCAACCCCAAAGGCAATTCCGACAATCTTTTTAATCTCAAACCTAAAACCACCTCTATAGCACTTTTTCTGATACATCCTTCAAAGGTAGAGAGTTCTGCTTTTGACCACCAGTATGCCCATAAATCCCGCCCATAAGCTTTCGCTTTCGACAAGGTTATTGCTTTCAAAAAACGGCATATGACAGCGGCAGATAAACCATTTTCATTTTTGCAGTTAAGAAAACATATGAAATTTAAATTGCATTATTTCATAAAAGGTTGTTTCCCATTTGCGGGTCAAATGTTCCCCAACAAATCACTGTTCAGGCCAAAACGGTAACATCTAAGAAGTTTTACAAAATTTGAACACAACTGTTCCTTTACAGCGCAGTTGAGCTCGGCTTTTGGAAATTCTACCTTCAAAGAGGGGAAAACGATAATTTTTCCTATAAGTAATATAACAAGTAAAAGTACCATGATTTTGACAGCTTTGGTACCACTGTTTAACGTTGACGACGACTGCACATTATAGGTGGTTAGGCTTCGTTGAATGTTGGAGCATATGCGATGCATTTAATTGCTAAACTTTGCCATGGTTGGGCACAAAAAGGCAACAGCAAACAATGCGATCAATACATGAAAATTTGTCTTTTATTCCTCGAACAATGGGAAATTCCATTAACAGATTGGAATATTCATATATATAGATACAATATGTGGGGACTATTTATATAGATTGGGCGACTATTATAAAATATATAAGCAAGCTATGTGTAGCTACTATTTTAATACTGGCTCTAAGCAGTTGAGAGAAATTTTACACAAAACTATCTGATGAATACCAATGATTTTCTCTTTTACTTCAATTTACAACTATCTGTGAAATCAACGCGCTCGTATGCTCCTTTCCTTTTTCTTAAAGTTTTAGATTTTTCGTTTGTTGTTTTCATATGTTTTCTTATGTGGGGGTTTGTTTTTTTTTTAAACTAAGTTCGGGATCGATGCATTCTTGCGCTGGTTGCTAGCTAGGATTTCGGTATTTTCCCGTCAGTTAGTCGATGGAGATGGCTGGGCCTCCGCATCGGAGGAACGCAGCCAAGTGCAATTGAGTATTTCGCGTAGGTTCCAACGCGCATGCGGCTCTGGCTCAAGCAGAACGGATACAGTGGCCTTGGCTTGAGGCGTTATAGAGTCCTGGAGCTTGCGACGAAAAGCGAACTTCTTATTGCGTTGATCTTCAAGTAGTTTCGTCAAATTGCTGTCATCGAAGGGCATTTTGGCATTCATCATGATGAATAGAATGACGCCCAGAGACCAGGCATCAGCCAGCTTGGGATCATAGGGACGACCGCAGACGACCTCGGGTGCAGCATAGGCGGCCGAACCGCAATATGTTTCTGATTTCATCTCACGTCCGGTGTCGTCGCAGCAGTAGCGAGCAAAGCCGAAGTCCGCCAGCTTGATGTTAAGGCGCTTCGACAGCAAAATGTTCTCACACTTGAGATCCCGGTGGGCGATATCGTGAGTGTGCAAATACTTAAGGGCCTTGGCCATTTGTAGGAACCAAGCCTTCGACTGCTTCTCCTCAATGGCTCCCGACTTCTTAATATGGGACAACAGATCTCCATTTTCGGCATAGCGCATAAAGATGAAAATCTTTGGACCACGCTGCAGTATACTATGAATTTGTATAATATTAGGATGGTCGATTTTGGTTAAAATTTCCAGTTCCCGTGGAAAGAACTTGTGCACGAAATCAGTGGGCGCCTTGGCCTTGTCAATGATCTTACAGGCCAAGTTAACACCATGGCCCGCATCGTCGGCATAGCCAGCGGTTATCACAGTAGCGTAAGATCCTTCTCCAATCTTATGGCCGATGTTATAGCCACGCTGGGCCAGGGCGTCAATGTCCGAGCTGCGTGTGCTCAACTGACGATTTCCGGTATTATTTGCAAATTTCGACATAATGTTTTAGTTCCGATTATTTCAATATGATAATGTGGTTTAGTGAATCGGCTAAGGCCTTTGTGTTGTGCTGTGTGTGTGCAAATTTTGATCAACTGTCGAAATATTAGAGCGTATGGATTCAATCAAATATATAGGGAGTGCATTCGCATGCTTACCGTTGCGTTGGTTGACTTCACAAACTTTGAATTTAATGGTACTATCATATAAAGCTGACGAAATTTGCTATTCCAATCCAGAAATTTTGACAAAATTAACAAACGATGTGAAAGAGGAAAGACAAATAACAAATAACAAAACGATTTCATAAATGACTACTAATTTAAATGCTACTTAGATGCATCGAGTATAAATGAAAACTGACTGACACTGTTTGGACAATTATACCCTGCACCCAAAGGGTAAAAGGGTATATTAGTTTTGTGCGAGTGTACATGTAACACACAGAATGAGGCGAGGCAGACCCCCAACGTATAAGTATTCTTGATCAGGATGACAAGACGAGTCGATATAGCCATGTCCGTCTGTTCGTCTGTTTGTCTGTCTGTATGAACGCAAGGATCTCAGAAAGTATAAGAGGTAAAATAATCAAACTTGGTATACAAATTCTCCATTGTTTTTTGTGGTAGGTACAGGGTATTTAAGAGCCGAGCTCGCTTTACTTTATCATTTGTTTCTTGTTTTAAATAGATCTACTGCAATTTGAGGGGTTTTTTAAAAAACAATTTTAAGTGAATGTGACTAAACATTAGCGGTTTCATTGCTTAATGGGGCTTTCCAAATATATGTCCTTAATTAGGGATCATTATCAGTATTGATTTGATGCTAAATATTAGCGATAAAACCAAAAAGTTTTAAACTCGTATAGATTAGGTAGAATTTTCCTTAGTACCCTATTTTTCTTGTCTGAAATATGGTTGCATTATTATTCATTTGCTTAGTCATTGTATTATTTCCAGCTTTAGAAATATACACTTCAGAAACAAGATGCCAGCCAAATTTTTGAGCAAAAAAAAATTCTTGAATTGAATCAAATAAGAAAATAAAATGAACAGTAGTTTTCGAAAAATGGGATGTATGTATTTTTAAATTGTTGCCATATAATGTAAAATATCATAGCAAAAATTGAACTGAAGCCCCAAATTTATAGAAAGCAATATGGCAATGGGGTTTAAACTCTGAAATGGTGTCATTTTCCAGTTTTAAGGTTCTCTAGCTGTATTAAAAGATTTACATACATGACTTAAAGTTACAAAGCAAAAGCTTTAAATGAGATTTTTTTTTTACATTTATTTTAGAAGTTGACAAAATATATAAATATTGTATGTGGAAATGTGGAAATAATTAAAACCCTAGATAAAGACATACATTTTTTTGCCACATACAAGTCTATTGGACAGTGTCATCATTGTAAAGAAAACACGTTTAGTTAAGTCAATTGTTACCTTTATGATTTACCTTTTAATATTGTTAAGCAAGTAAATTATTTATGTGCTTATTTATTCATGTTTTTCTTTTGCTTTACCTTTTAATATTGTTGAGCAAGTAAATTATTTCTGTGCTTATTTATACATGTTTTTCTTTGGCAGTGGCATGCCTGTTGCCTTCAAGCAATGAGGCCGGCAATGGAACGCATGGGGACTCTGAGCTGAGCGCCTCGGAGCGTAATCGACGCCTTATACCCTACATGGCATTCTACTTGCCAGCACCTGAGCTGCCCATCAACAAACAATATGCCAAACAGCAACCGGATGCCGGAGGCGGTTCACAGCTGCAGGCACCTGCAGCTGGTCGAATACCAGTGCCGCTGGCATACATGCCACAACCGCATGGACCACACCCGCCCCCAATACCGCCACATCGTCAACTTCACCATCAGCAGCAGCATCATCATGTGCCTCACTATCAGACGAGTGCAGGCGAGGTCTATCATGCCCTTGCCATAGGCAACCAGCAGCAACAACAGCAACAGCAGCTTCTGCCACCTGTCGTTGTGAAGGAAGCTTTGGCAAAGCTGCCGCCCCCACAACCACCGGCAGCGCCGGCAAGATTGCCCGATGGCGCCACTTTTATAGCCTACAAGCCATTGCACTCGACGCACAAGGCAAGTTCCACATAAATACATACACATACATTCATACATACAATGACGTACAAAATAATAGAAACGACATTGCACTTTTCACTAAAAGCTTCATTCCTTAATTTCTGGACAAGTTAACTGGTTAAAGGTACTTCATTGTGATTTCGCTTTAATACGTATTCTGGCAGAAATATTTTGTGTGTGCTCTGATTTTTTACACTTTTTGGAAAAATAGGTAGGTAATATTTTAACATTATAAGTAAAGGGTAAAAATTCTTGTACAATTTTCCTCTTAATATTGTTATAAGGTTAAGAATGGGTCGGGGATATCATTTCACAGCTACGAAAAGGAAAATCATAATTAAACTCAAAAATAAAAGCAAACCAATGGCTGTAGTTGCAATATTATTGCATTGATACAAAAAATAATGTGTTTTTTGCGGTTCATTTTGAACTAAAACGGAAGAAACAAAGTAGAAAGCTAGCCAAGTCTAAACAAGATAGAACGCTACAGTCGAGCAAGCCCGACAGTAAAATAGCCTGTACTCTCCACAAAAAAGAAAAATTAAAAAAAAAAAATTAAAAAAAAAAATTAAATTATTAAAAAAAATGAATGAATGAATTAATTAAAAATCGAAAAAAAACTCAAACTCGTACTTTCTCGGTCTTAGGAGAATATGGAAACCAAGTTTGGTTATTCTAGCTCTTATACTTTCTGAGATCCTTGCGTTCATACGGACAGACGGACAGACAGACAGACGGACGGACGGACAGACGGACGGACGGACAAGGCTATATCGACTCGGCTTCTCATCCTGATCAAGAATATATATACTTTGTGGGGTCTGCCACGCCTCCTTCTGTGTGTTACATACATGCGCACAAAACTAGTATAGCCTTTCACCCTTTGGGTACAGGCTATAAAAATTGTACAAATTTCTATTACAGCAGTCCAAAAAACACCCGATCTTTTCATCAGGAGATCTATGAAAGCAGTTAAATGGACTTGTTTCTAGTCGTACAATAATAAATAAGGTCATAGATGCTGATTTGAAAGCACATTCTGTGAGAAAAGTACTATGACTTAAAAAAAAATTCAGAGGTCGCATTACTTTTCCAAAAGGCATTTAGGGCGAGAAAATTGCAAACCCGTGCTTTGATCAGACGAGACTAAGCTTAGTTTGTTGGGATCTGATGGCAAGACGACCCAAAAAGCAAGCTCATGATCCGGAATACATATATATATATATATATATATATATATATATATATATATATATATATATATATATATATATATATATATATATATATATATATATATATATATATAAACTATTCAAGATGGAAGTGTCAGTGGGGATATTTTTCATCGTTTGGATGTTGGTCCAATATTTTGATTTAAGGACGAAATCTGAGCTATGCAATACGTTAACATACTTAACTATATGCTGAGGAAGAAATGCCGGTATGTGGATTTTTTTCAAGATAATACCCCTAAACACACTTCGCAAGGTTTCATGAAATTAAATGTGCTTTGATGGAACGGATTTCATAATGATCCGACCTAAATCCCATAAAGGCCCCTATGGGGGATATAAATAAAGAATATTTTTGGGCTTAAGTCCAAAAACAGAGACGATTTATGGCAAAATGTGCAGACCGTATGGGATGCCATTGATCCCCCAACTTGTTGTCCATACTGGCGGAATCTATGGGTCATCCAAGTGCAGAAGCTTTCAAAAACCATGGTGAAACTATCAAATATTAACAAATTCTGTACATGGTTTATGTCTTGGAAATAAAAAATTAATTCTTTTTCAGTTTAAACTATATCGTTTCTATTTTTTTGTGCAACCCAAAAAGAAAACAATACGTTTTTTTGCGATCTAAATCTTCAAAAAGCTTTTTTTTTAATTTAAACATGTTATCTGATAAATATTTAGTAAAAATAATTGCATTCCGAATGAAAAAATTTGTATGGAAGAAAATTGGAATAAACGAAGAATATTTTGTCGTTTCTATTATTTGTTCCACCACTGTACATACATACTCGCAAAGGAGCATTTGAGCAGAAACCAAATAATCGTGAAATTCATAATTTACAGCACAAGACGGTGCAGCATTTTCCGCCGCTGCAGCATCAACAAAAACAACAACAACTGCAACAACATCAGCAACAACATCAGCAACAATATCAACAACAACAACAGCAGTTCGAGCTGCTTTCCCCGCCTCCTCCACACTTCCACAGGCAACGCACCAAACAATCGAAAATCAATTTAACACCGTTTACAGCACAGAACACGCTGCCGGGACAGTTTATACCCATTATTTATACGCCAGTGAGCAGCAGCAGCAGCAGCAGTAGTGGCAGTAGCGGCTCCACTAGTGCCAAACACTCCATAAACAGCAACAGCAACAACAACGATCCCCATAATGGCAATACAATCAATTACAATAACAACAACAACAATCAACAGCCTGCAGAAATAGTATACGAGCAGCATAAAAATTCCCATCAAACACAAATCGTTACGGACTATGCATCATCATCTTCCGAGGAGCAACCTCCGGCAGCTGGCGAGGATGAGGCACCAGCGCCAGCACCCGTAGCTGCTCTGCCGGTGCAGCCAACAGCTGGGTAAGTTGAATGCGATGGCCGTGCGAAACTCTACCAGAGACCCAATCGGAATCAGATCGTCTAAAAGATATATCGGGGGCGCTACTGTTTACAAATTTCTCATGCAATAGTTGCAAGAGAAAATAACTAAAAGCCAAAGGGCAAAATAAGTAGACGCACCCTTTGAAGCTGGCATTTACTCGTTTACACCTAATTCTGTTTTTACACGGTTTGAAAATTAAAATGTTTATATATGGTTGCACGACTTTATTCCATTTAGCACGATTCAAAATAACATATGATCAATGTTTTTTTTTTACACGGTTCTGGAACCAATCAACCGTGTAAAAAGAGAATTAGGTGTACACATATAGTTTTGACCAAGAAAGGTTTATCATCTTTGAAATAAGGTGTCCCTTTTCCACTGAGACGCATTTATTTATTTATACTATTTATAAAAAAAACTAGTTCTTTACGGTTTAATTGGTGCACAGGCGAAATCTGTGCCTAAGCTGTTATGGACCCAGTAAGCGACGTGGGAGAGCTTCAGGCGACTGTTAAACAAGTTATATTGTTTTAAACATTCTTGTTAAATAGGATGTCACATAAATTCTTTCAAATTTTGCAGTTTTTTATATTTAGATACATTTAACAAGTAAAAAAGCTAAAGTCGGGTGTCCCGACTTTGAAATACTCTGTACATATGTTTACAATAATTATAGAAAATAAAAAAAAAAATAAATAAAAAAAAATTGGATCGATTTTACCTCTCTCGGTATTCGAACTCACGTAAAGGGTGTATAATTGCACATTTACATAGCAATTGCGTCTGTGTGAGTGTATGTATGCCTATGCGCATCAATTCGTGTCTGTGTAAGCATTTTCGCAGTCAACCAAACAGCAACATCAACAACAGCCGCGGGCAGCGTTTGAGCAGCGCTGCAGCAGCGCTGCTGCAGCAAATATATTTATGGCTATAACTTCTTGGTAAATCGGTCTATCATAATGAAATTTGGCATACGGCCACATAATAACTAACTGGGGGTATTTGCAAAATTTTAGTTCGAAATTCCAAGAATTACGGGAGTTAGAGAAAATCGCATTTGCGGGGGAGAGGGGGGAGGGAGGGAAATTCCAAAATATACATTTTCTGCGTATTCACACAAGGCATCTTGGACTAAAATTTGGTGTACCTAGGTCTTATAGTCTCCGAGATATAGGCGATTATACGAATGGAAAATCGGGAAAACCCCCATAGGGGGGAAGTGGGGGGGAAAATCAAAAAAATAAAACAAACTCGTATAGAATACACACATAACGCATCTTTGTGGAAAATTTGGTGTCTCTATCTCTTATAGCCTCTGAGATCCAGGTGTTCATACGGACGGACAGACGGACAGACAGACAGACAGGGCTAGATCGACTCGTCTTGTCACGCTGATCAATAATATATATACTTTGTGGGGTCTGCCACGCCTCCTTCTGCCTGTTACATTTTTCAGCTCCCGCAAACCCAATATACTCTTGTACATTTCATGTACAGAGTATAAAAAAACACACACCCCACAAAAATTAAATTAGAAAGCATACTTATCCATCAACTGCCCTTTTCTGTTGCCTCAATATAAAGGCTTAAATTTCAGAGCTAATTTACTGAGGATTGAAAAAATAGGTAAAGCAGAGCAGCTCTTCAGACAAAGGCTGATTAACTACTTAAAGATGAAGAGCTTTTTAAATATAGTTATATACTTTGATGGTAGTTTGAAAATTAAACATCGTGTCATTTGCGCTAATGTGAATATTCTGTTTTTACACGGTCTTTTTATACACAGTTTGAAAATTAAAAATATTATATATGATGTTGATTTGATCAACTTCACTGATTATCTTTTTGAAACGGTTTTTTTACACGACTTTTTCTGGAACCAATCTACCGTGTACAAACAGAATAAGGTGTATTGAAGAAGAAGAAAATCCCAAATGTAGTGTCGCACCACACAAGCACTATTATTTATTATTCGCGGAGCTTTGGGCAAACACCTCCCGGCTGTACGTATACACGTAATTCTGTTTTTACACTGTAGATTGGTACCAGATACAACCGTGTAAAAAAAGACATCGATCATATTCAAAAATAGGTGATTGGTTCGTTATATCTGATGAAATACTTGTATATATGCAATTTTTAATTTTCAAACAGTGCTATATCAAAATCATGTAAAAAAAGACCGTGTAAAAACAGAATTAGGTGTACTATTTTGCACTGCTATACCGACGCTATGCTTTGCATTGACTTCTCGCTTAAGCAGACCCGCGCAAGTGAAGTTTTTAAACGTGTGTTGTCATTAGACCATGAAGAATCTGATTTTGATCATTCATTGCAATTTTTAGTAAAAACTCCCTAGTAATTGCGCACTTAAAAGAAAGTTTTAAAAAATATATTCATACATATGTACATAGTTGCTTTGTTGCGTTTACGATTCCATGTTGGGCATGATGATCATTGTAGTGTAGGGGCGTATTAGAAGGTCAGCAAGCAATGATCGTGATCGGCCAAGTTTCAAAGCCAAGCCATTAAGAGTTACATACTTGTACTTTATAGCTATACTGATTATGTGAGGTATCACAAAATCGAGATACTCCCACATGGCGAGTGTATAGGAAGCAGCTCCCATTAGCAGTGCCATGCTTTGCAATTCGTTGTAGACAGTTCACATTCTCACAGATACGCCCACCTGGCGACGTCAGACACAGAAAAAAAAAGAAACATCCATACACTTGTCGTCTTCATCATCAGAGTCATGCGACGACGAGGCAGTTGCATGTAGAACACACGAACAGAAATTAAAAATGCTGCACGTACATACAAAAATATACTTGTAGTACGAGTATTTCGTCAACACCATAACCGAAGCATGTCGAGCGCCCCGTCCACGTTAATATTGCTGCTCTGACAGAAAAAGAAACTTTAAGAAATACTCGTATCTATGTATGTATGTATGTAGCTCTGTATGTCACTCATACAGCAGCAACAGAATGATGTTGCACTCGTTGTATGAAAAGCCCTTGGGCACAAAAATCAATTGCATTAAATACCAGACTTATGCGTAGGCGACCGACCGCATTAAGGCCAGCTTCAGTAGCAGGTTGACTGAGAATGGGAAGTATTGGTATTATGGGTGAGGGGGCAGGAGGGAGGGTGGCACAACGATTGCACTTCAATGTACGCGTCGAGGCGCTGCCAAAGGGGTGTCCGTTCTTGACCGTAATTGCAAATTCATGTCATAAATTATCAGGGGGGGTCTTGGTCGACGGCAGGCTGCTCCTTTACAGAAAGCTTTACAAGTCAACCCACCAATTAACAAACCATCATCCCGACACCACAGCATCACTTTTCATGTTTACAATGAAGAGCAGCCCGCAGAGCGGCCCCCCACAACATCCGCATCCTCATCATCAGCGTCATCGGCACTGGCGGGGACCAGCGCTTTGATTATACACCACAAATCGCCCAACAGCTATGGCTCCAGCTCCAGCAAATACGAGAGCTACTTCAACATGGCACCACCCTCGGATCAACAGCTGACCATGCAACAGAAATATGTGCTCTACTTGCAGCAGCGCATGAAGCTCCACAAGCAGGAGCAACAGAATCATCTACAGCACCAGCAACAAACATCTTATCAATCATCATCTCACATAGCTCCTGACGAGTACCATCAACCGCCTGTTCACAGCATTACGAAATCCGGCAAGCATTCTCACAGCCATATTCCACACGACCAACCACAACCACCACAACAGCCACAACATCCCAATCATTTACACCAACAACAATCCACGGGTCAATCGCAGAAGTACAATGCGCTCTACGGGCGACCTGGAGAGCAGGTGCTTCACATACCCCTGCGGGCACTCATGGGGCATTTACATGAGCAGCAGCCGCAAACGCCGCACCTTGAGTTTGTCAAGGATGCGACGCTTGGGTAAGCAACATCCTTTTTTTTATTTTAATTATCAATGGAGATACGCTATTGCTATTAAAATGTTAATAGGTGGTAGCTATTAACGGGGTTTGCGTTCCTAGAAAACCTCGTGTTAAGCGAAATCGTTTTAAACGAGACATGGACTCCATACAAAATATGGGGTTCCGTTTCTAAACTTCGACAAATGCACAAAAAAAAACTTTTTTCTCATTTATGTTTCTGCTGCTTTCAAGTTTCAGACATTTCTGAAATTAACAAAAGTTACTCCAAGTTTTAAATATTTATCTTTAACAGATTAATCTTAATAAAAAAGAAATCATTTTTAAGCATAAAATAATGTTAAAGCAGCTTTATATAAAATTTAAGAACCATTTGGTGACATTGGTGTATACACCTAATTCTGTTTTTACACGGTCGATTGGTTATCTCTAAAGAATTATACATATATGACATTTTTAATTTTCAAACCTCAAAAGACCTTGAAAAAACAGAATTGGGTGTAATTAGATTACACCTAATTCTGTTTTTACACGGTTTCGATTTAAGACGCATTGAAAATTAAAGGTTTTATATATGGTTATACGATTTTATTCCATTTAGCACGATTTAAAATACACCTAATTATGTTTTTACACGGTCTTTTTATTACACTATTTTGATAAAAAAGAAACAGTATTAGGTGTAACATAAAATTTGTCTTTTTTTACACGACTTTTTTTTGGAACCAATCTACCAGTAACAACAGAATTAGGAGTATAAGCCGTTTTTTTTTTGTGGTAGCCATCTTGAGTGCACAAGAAAGGGTTTTAAAATTGTAAACAAGTGCTGGTCATAATTTTTTCCAACATCCATTCAATGTTTTCTCCTTAAGATCTTTTAGAGAGAAAATAAACAATTCTAGGCAATAGAAAATTACTTCCCAGTACTGATTACATCGATGGAGTCAGTTTCAGTTGTATCTGAAATCCGAAGCATAATATCATTATTTCTATAATTGTTCCAGTATTTATTCAAAAATAGCTCAAAGAGAATGTTTTTGTATCTATAAAATATGGATGATAAGTAGAATTCCAGTTCCAATTTAAAGAGAATATCCACAGCCGCATCAACAAAACCTATGGCGGAATTTTTTGGTCAATAAAAAATATCTGAAACACAGCTGTTCAATTGGTAGCCATTGATAAGCCTTACTAGCTGTTATTTGTAATATTTTATAATTCCGGAGTAAACCGCTTATCAACAGAAGCCCAAACAAACTTTATATAAGAATTATCTACAAAATATCATAATTATAAAGGATTCTCTATTAAACCATATCCAATACACATCCAGTTTTTAATTATCTTATTCTACGAATTCTAACCAGTTTAAAATGGTATTTCAAATACTCGCGATCTGGTTGGATCTTTTGAAAAACGACCCTTTTATCATTTTTATTTGATCACCTTTGTTTTTCATTAAGCAGCACTCCATCGCCACCTCCACAACTCATAGACTACCTCATTGATGGACCGCGTCAATCACTGGATGAGGAACATCAGCACGAACAGCCCCAGCGTAGGCCGCCGCCGCCTCCTCCGGCACCAACACGTCTACTGCGTCCTAGTATACCGCCACCATCACCACATGGCTTCATTTTGGTAACCACAGCAGCACCCCACACCGACCATCATACGCCACCACAGCTGCATGAGTTGCCCGCTCAACGTCCACCGAACCAATATAAACAACAGCAGTCCACGCTGCGTCTTCAACCGTTGACGCCGCCGCACAACTACAAGGCCACCAGACGCCCCATCTATGTCAGTACGCCGCCTCCATCCACACCCCATCAAATGGTCGAGATCACGCCCAAATATGTGTACGTGACTAGGAAGCCATCAGTGACCAATGAGCCTGGAAGTAGAGCTCCACCGACCTCGACACCCATCAAGCTCAAGCCGTCCCACAAATACGAGCATGTGGCGGCGCATGAAACTGTTGGTCCACCACCTGCTCCATCTGCCCCTGTTCCCCTTCCTCCAGCAGCAAGACCGAGGCCCACCTATGTTGATTCTAATGATGAGGATCAGCTACCAGACATACGCACTTCATCGTTGGCAGAGATTCTACACAAGCTACAGGCTAGCAATCACCTGCCGCAAACCTTGACTCCTGATAACATAGATAATTCCATCAAGACATTAATACGCATTCTGCAGAACTTGAAACAAACGCAAAGCATCGCGTCAAGCCCGCCTCAGGATCATGAGACAGCAGTGGCTGGGGACTACGATTATAATACGGGTACTGAGGAGCACTCTACAACGACGGCCCAAGCACAGGATATGGATTTGGCTGGACTCGTGCCATTGGCGGGGCCAAGTAAGTACCGCCTTTATTAGTTAGTTCAGAAAGAATGCGGAATTGTTCGTTGCTTTAAAATAATCAGAGCTAATAGAGTTATAAATAGATTGATTTGTGTGTTTTTCTTTTTCACTATAATTTCGAACATTTTACAGATAAGCATCCTGGTCCCAGCACTGGTCGTCCAGGCATAGACTATCCCAACTATGCAGAGATTCCGAAGACTAGCTTTGATTGCACCGAACAGCGTTACAAGGGGTTCTTTGGTGACCCCGAAACGAACTGCCAGGTGTGGCACTATTGTGATCTAAATGGTGGCAAGGCTTCCTTTCTATGCCCCAATGGCACCATCTTTAGTCAAGTAAGTGTTGCTTCTGCTTCTACATAGATTTTATCACTGACTAAACCATTCATTTCAGATTGCATTGACTTGCGACTGGTGGTTCAATGTCAAGTGTTCAACCACGCCACAACTTTATGTTCTCAATGAGCGTCTCTATAAATACATACTGCCCTTTAATCCTAAATTCCCAGAGGACTACAATGGACCCATTGTGGATAAGTATGAGCTAGAATATATTCATGTTATTGGCTGCCTTCTAAACCTCCTTTCATTCTCTAGATACCTAGCTATGAAATTCCAAGAAATGGAGGAAAAAATGCGTTTGGAGAAGGAGCGCAAAAGTAAGCAACAGGCAGAGAAACCTGATGCTAGTGAAGATGCCGCAACGCCTTCATTGCCCAAGAATCACAAGCCATTTCCAAAGCATGGCGTCAATGCGCAAGTTTACGAGCAAAGTTCCGAGCGCAATCTACTTATCGACGATGAGATTGATGATATATCGGAGCGCGGCACTTACGACAACTATGAGTTGCAACATCCAACCACATTGTCCACCCCAACGACCTCACACGAAACACTGTCGCTCAGTCTCAAGCCAATTGTGGTATCTTCAACACCGGAGCCAGAACTGGATTCGGAGCCCGGGGGACCCGAAAGCGCCGAGGAGGACAAATTACAAAACTTGAGGGATACGAGTGCTGCACAGCAACAGCAACGAAAACAAGTGGCACAACCAACGCCCCCGCGAGAGACCACAAAAGTGAGCGTAGAAAGACTGGAAGTAATTGAAATTAAAACCGATGGTCACACTGGCCAACTAATGCCCGTGACAAGCAGTGCATCGAAATCTGTAGAAAGTAGCGAGCAAACACGCAAATAGTTCGATCAACTATACTTGCGAGAATATCGAGAGCTTGCCATATTTATAAGGAGAATTCTTCGAATTGTTCGTTTGTCGTATGCCCTAAATTGTTATTTTTTAACGAACGACTTGTGTATATAATAATTATGTGTAAGTGACTATGTACGTATACCTATATTATTTAGCAAAAAAATTATGATATACTATAGTTACGAATAGAATTAAAGCTGAGAGTAGAAAGTAACAATTGCTGACTTACCTGCTGAGAATTGTTAATGTGGAATAGAGCTATATTGATACAATTAATGGATGCCGGTATCTCGGTCAGATGGCGCATATTCTGCAAATAGTTATAGTACTTATAGTTTGTAATTGCAATTGATGGTCACACTGGCAAACCAAGCAGTGCAGCGAAGTCTGCAGAAAGTAGCGAGTATGGACAGACATAGTAATGTTTTGTTTGTAATATCGTACTGAGACTATTCAATTTTCGTTATTAGTTTGAAAATAAAACTGATGCTTAACTATCGAATATGTTGGATAATTACATGTACATATAATTACAACAAATTTGAGAACAATTAAAACCTCTTTATTACACAGATTACGACTACTTTCTATCAGAAATTCTTGTGACTGTTTAAATCGATGCACAAATATTTAAATGATATTTGAGAGTCGGTATAGAAACTTTTAAGTCATCAGTTTAACTGATAACATTGTTATGAGTTTAGCATAACTTACCATTTCAGCCAGAGTGCATATTTGGTGGTTGCGATGAAAACAGGGCAAGCATTTTTCGCAGCAGATGCGACGACATCTCAGACAAAATATATCTTTAGTCTTATCGTGCATGTTGCAATGGTGTACAGTGGGCACTTGAAAGGCATCCTTTCCCACGCGTATAACTTTCTCAAAATTCCTTTCGTCTTCCATACGCGATAACTTGTGCCCCTTGAGCACCGGATTATGTCTGTGCACCGCTTCAAAGCAGTGCTTGCAATAGAAGCTGTTGCACTGCTTGCACTTGCCAATTGGTGGATGGTTGATGCATTCGCCGCATTGGATGGGCACAACAATTTCGCTGGAACTGGTGCATTGCAGCGACTTGTTAATTGAGTTCTCAGAGAAGCGGCGATAGTAATCCAAACATCTTGCAGCGCCCAAAGCGTGGTAATCAATTTCGTAGTAGTCCCGTGGATTGAATTTGTATTTCGTATTGGGATCCTTTAGCCCGATGGTAGGCGGGGCTGGGGAGGTGCAAACAGCGCACTCAAGATTATGGCGATGCTTGAAAATGCAGTTCTCGCACATACTGTGCCCGCAAGGAAGCAATAGTGGACGATGGCCACTATAATTATTTTCTAAGAAAAATTGTAAAGCGGCGTTATTTTAATATACATGTATGTATGTATGCATGTATGTGTGTATTGTGTTTAAAATGGTAGAGTAAAAGGGAATGCAAAAAAAACTACGCATCGCAGCGGGCATACAACAATGACACAGACTAACGGCGGAGAAGTATATACATACACACATACATAATTCATAGTAAAAGCGACAATTTGAAAACATTTCAAGAACTCATTCTAAAGAGAACTCCAAATAACGGATTTTTGCGTAGCCAAAGAATTTTTCCCATTTTCTCATAAAGCAAACTCGATACAGTAACTGTGCCGGCCGGCATGCAAATGTGAAACACCCTGTGCGCGTAGGGAAATATATGGTATGCATATTACATATGTATATGTATATCTACATATGTGTATTCAAACTGCATTAACAATTGGAAATGCTAATGTCGTTGTTGCACTTACACTGAATGGCTAAAAAAGAGTAATTAACTGTTTGATTTACTTACTTGATACTTCATATCGGTCTGAGAAATGGTGTGAACATTTAGCGCATTTTAGGAACAATTTTAAATGTTCAGCAATGAATTTGCGATCAAAAATGGTCAACCCACTCTCACTGCTGATCATTTTGTTGTTTATTCTTTAATTTACGTTAAGGTTTTCTCTGATTTTGTTCGAATTAAAGGACCATTTTAATGCCAAAATTAAACTAGAAAACTAACGCTTACAACACCGTACGGTAAAAAAAATGAACTGAAACTAGCTAGAGATGGTTATAATTTTGTAAATCCAATTCGATAATTATAAATACTGCAAAGCTTATATATCGATGAGATCGATAATATAGTAATAGGCAAAATACAAAATTATAAAATACGTTTGGCCACTCAGAGTGGTATATTAATGTTGTTACCTATTTTAATCAGATAATTACAACCAAACTTATGTTTTGTGCATCCACGCTAGACAATTATTTCAAATAATCCACTTATTGACTTATACGCTGTTCCTGTGTTATATATAACAAGAGCAAAAAAATAAATTAATCCAGGTTCTAGGTTGATTATGCTGCTTCAAAAAATTAAAAATAACCTTTCTGTTGATTGCAGTGAATATCTGAATAATATTCTGATAAAGATAACACAACATAATACTCCAACTTGAACCCACTTACCAATTTAACGACTTACTTTATTAGTGACGGGAATGCGTTGCAGTTTTGCGACTATATCGATAGAGTGATTTCGATAATTCATCCCGATAATTAATGTGTCAGTGTCGAAAATACTAAGTAACGTACGCGCAACAAACTCGTTTCTTTATTAATAGTGCTGTTTAAAGCGGGACCTGCCTTTATACTATTCCAAAACCATTACAGATATACAAATTCGATGAAGTAGCTCAACAAAGTGGACATATTAGGTATTTTTTATGTATGTATTTATTTGCACACTACACCGAAGACCCCAAACCACATACAAAAAACATATGTTAAAGTATTTTTCTTTTGATTTGCATTAAATTTAGCCAAACATGGAATCCATTAAGGTGTTCTGGCGCTCGCGGCGATTGTTTTCGTCCTGTTTAAATCGCCGTAGTTCCTCGTAAACCGTATCATCTGTCTCCAGCTCGTATCGGCAGAGGGGACAGGAATTGGCCTAAACAGCAAGCAATGGAGAAGGATTAAAAATGGAAACAATTGGGTAGCAACTTTTGACCGCACGTACCTTCTTTAACCATAAAAGGATGCACTCCTCATGGAACTCGTGCTTGCACGGCAAGATCTTGTAGCTCTCCCCAGCCTCAGCGGGCTGCTTGCACACGGCGCATTCCAGTTCGTCAGAAAACTCCTCAGCGGCAATCTTGTGGACCGGCAGCTCGGCTATGGCCTTCTTGGAAGCCTCTGGAACTTCAATTTCCATGTCGATGCCATTCATTATGGCCAACACCTGAAGGCGCCGGAAGTGGCGAGCAAAGTCATTGGCGCCTTCCGGACCAGTGGGCTCATGGCCTAGCTCCTCAAAGTAGTCGGCCATCTTGCTGTAAACGCTTTTGTTGACTGAAAAGTTTAGATAATTTCGATTTTGTAATGCCAATGGCTTTAATAGACATGAGTTACATGGATTGCTGCAGGAAGAACTCAGTTTTGAATGGAAACCAAATGCAAAGTTTCATTTATTAAGATTCTCGTATACAATATTGCAGAACTCGAGCTTATCAGTAAAATAGAACTGAGCAGTAACTAGGTATCTAGGAGGTCTTTGCATTTAAAACGTAGTCTAGTCTAGTTATATAGTGTTTGTTTGTTGGTTTTTTTTAGCTAGTATTAAAACGTTCACTAGTCTAAATTGCAGGCATGTACTGGCTTTCTTCAGTTTGCTATAAATTTCACTTTCTGGGAAAAGAAAGACAGATCTGACAGATGTGCTACATATGTATATAGAAAATAAGATGAAATGAGAAAGTGGATGCAGAAGTGCATTTAAAAGCCGAAAAAGGGGGAAATGAAATCGTAGTTGTTTCTTTATATTATTACGACACATGTATATATTGACGATAATTAACGTTGGGTCTGGGGCAGAATCAATATTTATTTCCATTAAATGCAATTCGAGCAAATATGTAGTTTTAAAACTGTATAAATACATATAGGTATGTGCAGACACGTTCCGAATTTAAGTTGATTTTATGTAATTACGGAATTATGATAGTATGAGATATAAGTTCTCATATACACACACACAAAGCATACTTCGATTTCAAAGCGATATGACGATGATGTGTAATTTATTGTTATATGTTATGGTCTGCCGATTTGTATATACTATATGTTATAGTCCTCTAAATACAATAGTCGATCAGCATGGGCAGTAGTTCAGAGTAGTATGAAGTTTATTTGAAAAGAATTATGATTCAAAACTAATCGTCTTCAATTGTAGAATATGCTGAAATATTGGATGAAAATGGGCTAGTAATGCATGCATGTAACACAATTTCCGACTATAAAGTCTGCTTTATTTACTTGTTATATCTAAAATGAATTCAGTATTCGAATCATGCCAACTAGTTTCGAGATACTATGAGGTCTTTAATACTTTTTATAGCCTATTTGAACTCAAAAGTCGTGATGAAGAAAAACCAGCCAATAAAAACACAAAATCAATTTGTTTTTTGTTGTTTTTGTTATCAAAGTATTTTTAATAGTATGTACTCTTTTTCAATATTTTGTATGTACCAAAGGCGTTCTTCTTTTCAATTTTATATAGTTTTGTTTAAATATTTTTTTTAAATACTCTACAAAATTTGTTTAAAATAATTTAAGTTCTTAGGAGAAAGTAAAATGTACAGGCAGGGGGCGCAGAAAACCTTTAAACTGAGTATGGATTGTTTTCGTATTTTGCAGATAATTCCAACCAGCAAATAAATTAGATGAAACCGGGCCAAGGGTTACACGACAAACCGGCCCCTATGTGGTCTTTTCGGGGGATTTTTTTAATTGATTACAATTTTGGTATTTTAACTGGTAATTAGCTTACGACAACACAAACAAGTTTTACTTTTAACCATTCAACTGCTCGGCAATTCCATTAAAAATTTCATTTAAAAATTTAAGACTAAAGTGCAGCTTCGACGTGCTTACGAACTAAAAAAAAAGTGGTTGCAGTTTTTTGTTTTTAAAAAGGAGAAGAGAAAATAATAATAAAAACAACTTAGGCGCTACGATTTACAACTTATGGGTTTAGTTTAGACATCTAAATAGAATAAATAAAGGGGGAGCGCTAGTGTGTGTGTGTGTGGGTGTGTATAGGGGAGTTGGATGTCGAGGCTAATATATATAATATATAGTATATGTATATACAGAGCAGTTAGCGCCACTTAAACAAAATAATGAAAAGAGAAAACGATAAAGGAATCAATAACGAAATACATAAGTACACAATTTTCAATTGCAAGGATACTGCAACTAACTAACTAGTGGGGGGCTGTCGCCCAGGAGCTAGATAGGACAGGGACCAGGGCGGATCATATGAAATAATTACAATGCATAATTTAATTTCTATGGGAAACGAAGTGCAGCCTGCATTCCATCGCGTTTTTATGTTTTTTTTTTTTTCTTTCAATGTTTCTTTTAGACCTATCACTAGCATTTAGAGTTAGTTTTTAAGAGTCTAGTAGTAGTGCTAACTAAAAAGCGGCGCTGGCCTTCCGGGTAGCAATGCACACATTACGTATGAATTTATGTTTTGTTTTGTTTCAGGGATTGCAGGATAATGGGTTGCTCTCCACACGTTTAGGGAATCGCTGACGCCGACATTAGGGGCGCCAACTCCGTATCCTAGTCCGTTATAGAGATTTGCGCATAGCCGACCAGGGAGCGCTCGTCAGGCACCTCGCCGGGCTGGATGCCCGAACTCAGCTGGAACGTTATCGTTTTCATGGTAGCCACCTGTGCTATCAATTGCTGCAGATGTATGGCCATCGGTCGTGTGTCCAATGGATCAACGAGGCCAGCGTCGACCAGCTCCGTGGCAATGCCATCGGCCGTATCCTTGCCAATCACAAACTCGAATCGTATGTCGTGAAGTTCGCGACGCAAATTGCGCATCCGTAGCACCAAATTGACGGGTGGTGCTTCGCCAGCAGCAGCGGCGGCGGCGGTGCCACTTCCCTCACTGCTCGGTGACGGCATTTGAGCCATCATTGCATTGAGTTCATCGGGGGATAAGGCTGCCGTAGCGCCAGCTGTGCCCGGCGTTACCGTGGCCGATGAGACACTGGGCGTTATTTCGGGCGTTGTCTCCTCACGATCGCTATCCGATGAGTCGGCGCGCTCTAGGCGATTGATGGGACGATCCTCGGACTCTGAGTCGGATGAGGGATTTTTGCGTCCACCATTGCCGCTAACATTGTCCTCCTCCTCGCTGGACCAGACCCATTCGCCCGTTACGGTGCGATGCAGACGCCCCGAAGCGCCCGGCTGCCGCTTAGCTGCCTTGTGCACGCGCGTCTCCATGCTTGGGCCGGACTGCAGCAGGGTTTGCGTGAGATATTTACGATCCTTGGCCTTCTTGAAGAACGCATGCTTTAACAGCTCGCTGGCAGTCGGTCGTTTCGAGGGCTCCTTTTGCAGGCACTCGACTATCATCTTCCGGAATGTCTTGCCATATGCCTTATACTGATCCTTATCGTCCGCCCCGGTGTCCAGCGTCGGCGGATCATTCTGCAGCGTGAGCATGAGTACCTTCATGGGTGGGTACTTGTGATAAGGTGCCGTACCCGTTGCCATCTCAATGGCCGTTATGCCGAACGACCAGATGTCCGCTTTGAAGTCATAGCCATGATCCTGCTCCATCACCTCGGGTGCCATCCAGCAGGGTGTGCCGACAAAGGTGTGTCGCACCTTTTGGCGCGACAAATCTCGCCCAGTGGCCAGCCAGGCGCTGACACCAAAGTCGGCTATTTGTATGGTGCCATCGTCACCGATCAGTATATTGCCGGCCTTTATGTCACGATGGATCTGACCATTCGAGTGAAAGTACTCAAGACCCTTGAGCACCTCCTTTAGCACCGTCGCAATGGTGGCTTCATCGAAGACGCCCTGCTTGCAGTTCGCCGTGCGCATCTTATGCTTGATTATGTCTAGAAGCGAGCCACCTTCGAGGAGGCGCAGCACTAACCACAGCTCTTCACGCACCACAAACGATGTGTGATAGGTTACAACGTTCTCATGATTACACGACGACATCGCCTGAATCTCCTTGAGCAGTTCATCCATCGAAGTGTTCCACTTCTCCAGATTGATGCGCTTTATAGCGCACTTCTCGTTCCGTGGTATGCAATAGGCTCCATGCACCACCGCAGTGGCGCCCACACCAATCACATCGCGCAGCTCGTAATCATCCTTGGAGTTCGGCCACGGCTGTTTCTCTGTTGTGGCGCCCCCTATCGTGGTGGCGCTGCCAGCGGCGGCCACATTGTTGCTCGATAATACAACGGGTATTGAGGCCATGCTCCTGGCTGGAGATTTTTGGGTTCCTACTGCTGGGAGACGCTTTCGCGGCTGCTGCGAAATGGCAGGCTGGCTTTGAGATCGACGCTGTGGTGTCGACTGAAACGATGCACCACTCAAGTGGTTCCCCCTGGGCGTTCGATTCTTCTCCTCGCTGTGCTGTCTGTATATCTGCAAGCTTGGTTGCAAGCTCACAACGCTCCCCGATATCTGCTGAACCGTGTAACTTCCCGAGTTCGCGGAGCGCTCTAGCGATTGCTCCTGTGATGCTGATGTGCTCTTCTGCCGAAAACAACTGAAGCCGCTCTCTTCACTTTGCTCAGTTGAGCTCTGTTGTTGTTGTTGTAGTTGCGTTTCTTTGTCGCTGCTGTTGTTGTTGTTGTTGGCGAAATATGCAACTTCTGCAATAGAGCAAAGAGAGTAAGAGTCAAGTAAGACCTTGCGGCTGTTTAACAACGTGTGTATGTGTGTGTGTGTGTGTGTGTGGGAGAGCGAATAACGAAACAAGATTTGCAAAAGAAAGTAACTAGAAGAAGCACTAATATGAAGGATCCTTCTACAATTCATGATTAAGCATGCAACCGTTGAAAGGTAAGATAACTATACTTTCGATAACTTATAGAACGAATACATTAAACTTTCTTCCCAGAGGAAAGGTATGTTTGTTTCTCTCCTACAGATATAAACTCTTTTTACAAGTCTTCACAATCATACGTAAATTGTTAATGACAAGCATATTTCGCAACAATGTGAATATGAAACTGATTCAACTATTATTTCTTTTCCCAGGAAGAGTAGTAATCGTAAACTGATTTTAAAGTATTTTTTTATAGTTAAGTAAAGTCTTACAAAAGACCGAAGCGATCAAATGTAGTTAATAGCTTCAGGCTTAAAGAATCTTTAGATTTATAAAAGTAATTCAATTCAATTTACGATTAATAGAGAAATTGTTTAAAAGCGTTATATTTTAGGGAGCGTACACTTGTATATGTATGTATGTATTCAATTGGGGGGTTTAAGAGAAATCGGCGATTCTCGTTCATCTTTTATAGTCGCGACAGTCATACATATGTATATAGCTTCCTGGAATAGCAACTCCCTCTAGCTCACCCAGTGCGGTTATTGCCCTCATTCATTCGGTACACACAAAGGAAAATTTTTTAAGGTGTAAAACATGCCCACAATACTAGCACTGATTTCAGTACCGCCTCCCCGCACCACTGATAAGTTGCACACTTGCTTAATGTAGAATTTTTCCACGTATCGCTGATAAGCGACCGCGTCCGTTTAATTATTTCACAATATATGTCTTAAAGCATGTGTGTTTTATAAATAAATTCTGCGACGCTCGCAAATTTGTATTGTTTTTCGACACTATTCACATAATTTTAGACGAGACTGTCCACGAGTGTCTGACCGTTAATCAAGAGACTGTCCGACGCTGCAGCATAAAGATTACTCGCCTAGCGACTGAGAGCAAGTGAGATGGAGAGAGGAAAAGAGAGATTGTGACGAGTGTTGGGGAGGGAGGGGAGAGGAGGTGGTACAGCAATGAACGCATTCAGCTATTTTTAGCTACACAACAATAATAACAACAACAACAATAAACAGCGCAATATGTAATTAGTCGTTGAGTTTAAATGTTTATATCAAATTTGAAATTGTTGCTGATAGGTAAACGTTTGCTCTTTGAATGTTGTAAGCCACATAAATACATACATACATATGTATGTACAGATATACATACATATACGTGTATGTGCATGTATATAAATACATTTGTCAGCTGATATGAAGAGCACCATTTCTACTAACAGTCAACACTAAAACAGTAGATATGAGCGTACTTTAATTGATAAGTTTGTAGAGTGGTTCCAAAATTAAAAAAAATTTCAGTGATTCAGATTTGAAGCTTCTAAAAACATTTCAGAAGAAATTCAACAATGACTAAACGGATATCTGAATGACTCATCAATATATGTAAATTGCTGGTATACGCGTATTATTATTAAAATATTTTTTGAGCAACTCAGTGGTTGATTTTCTATATCAACCAATGATGATATTGGATTCAGAATTTTAGCAATTGCTATTTAAATTTCAAACTATTCGCACTAAAAGAATGATTCTAGGAATTTGAGGACCCCTACACAACCAAAACAGTTCACAAGTCAGTCAAATTATAATTATATCATTATAATAAGCAAACAGTATTTAGATCTGACCGTTTACCGAAATGATGTTAGCTTGAAGTATTTGTAAAGCAATATATTGGATCAAATTATTACTACCAGTATAGAGCGAGATTAGAAATTATTTATGTATTAACATTGTAAAGTTCGTATGTCTAATGGAGTGGGGAATGATTTTAAATGAATTTAAAGGGATAATTTAATAATCCTATCAATCCTACCACTTCCTAGATCTTGATTACAATCAGATTGATTCGATAAATTTAAATCTCGTGATTGCAAAACTTTTGGAAAAATTTTTCAAAGGTAAAGTGAGAAGTTCACAATAAATTTTAAAGACTTTCAAAAGATGTATACATATGTATGTATGTATGATAAGGAATAATATGTATTTAGTGTCAAGACTGTACTATTTTCGAGTCTTTAGCCTGAAATTAAATTATATATATACATATGTATGTATGTACATATATACATATTTACTATACATAAATATTTATAGAAGAGATTTTTTCGTTCTTTGGACTGTACAATTCCATTGCATGGATCCTATGTACCTACTATTTATGTATGTTTATAGTCACAGCCCGGAGGACCGGAAACCAAATATTTGTAGATAAGAGACCTCTATCTTTAATGGGATACAGCAGCGAGCGATAAAAACACCAAACACCATTTGACACAAAAAAGCTGCCATCCTCCTCCATTTCCACTTATCTATAGTATCTAGTCCGTGTGTTTGTGTCTGTCTCTCTGCCCGTCTGCCCGCTTGACTGTTTGCATATGACCCACAGACGTCATTGGGCTTGGCCAGCGAGCGATTATGTCAAGAGCTTCGCCCAGAAACCATATTTTGAATTTTAGGCAAATAGATTTTTTTTTCGACCTCGACACTTAACGAATTTTGCAATTCAAGACACAGTGGAAAAATTAAGCCATAATAATGAGTATGGCAAATAAAATGCTTCAGAATAATGTTTACACAACAAACAAATGCCGAACCGTTCGCACAGCACAGGAAACGCCTCTAATGCCGGCAACAACAATAATGAAAACAGCAGCAACAGCAACAACAACAACACACCAAACAAAACACTTGGCAACAATGTAGAAGAAGCAGCAGAAAGTAGGTAGTAGGTAGAGGAGGCAGATATGCTAATTTAAGAATAACGTTGAAATAAAATTTGTTTAAAGAATTCGCTTTAAAATAGCTAAACAACGAAAGCAAAAAAAAGTAATAATAACAAGAGAGAACGCTACAGTCGAGCAAGCCCGACAGTGTAATACCCTGTACCCAGGTAAACTTCCGTCACTGAGTTATATGCGCCCATAGCAGCAGCATAAAGAGGAAGAAGAAGAGCGAACTTGTTGCTGCAGTTTGGGGGGGTTGTACTGGTGAGAATTTGTTTTGCTAATAACTTTTCTTAGAATTGACCGAATTTGATAAAATTTTAAACAACAGTAGATAATTGTATAGAAATTATGTGTGCAAAGTTTGGTTTAGGTAGCATTTGAAATGTGGACGCTATTGACGAAATTCTGTAGCGGGGGAAGGGGGGAGAAATTAAAAAAAAAAAAATAAACTCGTCCTTACTCGGACCTAGGAGAATCTGGATGCCAACTTTGGTTATTCTAGCTTTAATAGTTTCCGAGATCCTTGCGTTCATCCAGACGGACGGACAGACGGACGGACATGTCTAGATCGATTTCTCTCGTCATGCTGATCAAGAATATATATACTTTATGGGGTCGGAGATGCTTCCTTCTGCATGTTACATACTTTGCACAAACCTAATATACCCTTTTTACCCTACGGGTACAGGGTATAAAAACAACAAGAACACACGCGCGTGCAATGTACAAAAAAATCAAACAAAAATAAGAGAGAGAGGGAGAGTGGTTAAAAGACGTGAGGCGGTGTAGAAAAAATACAACAAATAATCAATATGAACAAATCGTAACTATGAATTGTTAGGTTCTTGTGGGTTTTAGAAACGAGGTGGGGGGGAGCCCGCTCGCTAGTCACACGATCATGCGCAAGTGATAAGCGCCTTATGTGACCGACTTTATTGGTCACACGACCGATCGAGGCTGGAGCAGCAACGGTTCTTTTGCGAAACGCCTCGGGAGCCACTACAACGAACGAACGATCACAAGAGATCAATAAATTTTCATCAAGCCAATTGTTGTTGCTGTTGTTATTATTGTTATTGTGATTTTATTGATTTCACGCAAAAGAAATCAAAACAATTTACGCAAAATAGTAAAGTAAAGAAATTACATTTTGTTAATTTGTTTGTATGGCGCCGTAGTCTGCAAAAGCTGGTCTATCTATGTGTGTGTTGGTGTGTAGACGGGACGATCGAACGCAAAACGCACGCGCGCGCTCCACTCGTATCGTTTTCGACGTTTCGCTCGCTTTCAAAGCCGCGCAACAACTGAGCGCTCCACAGCATTGAAGGCACTACAAAACAAAAAAGCCACAATGACGGCAGCGGCGCCTACGTCGGCGACGGCGGCCACAGTGGCGCGCAGCAAGTGCGCCAACGACTGAGGGGAGCTCTTCTGGGAAAAAACGTATATTAGGAACGAGTAGAACGTAGACGTCGCATCAGCGCGACTTTTGTATACCCTGTACCCATTTCTCTAGCAGTCACAAATCGTTGGTGTACAACGTTTCGTGTGTATCGTTTCTATAGTGAGAAATCCCACATTTGATTGCAAATTAATAAAAAAAATGGTTGGTACTAGCAGTAATTTTTGTATCGATCGGTCCTATGACGGCTACATATACATATGTATGTATGTATGTATGTATAAAAGAACCCTTAGACCATGCGGTTATAGAGTATAAAAATACAAAAATAAATTTATTGAGTAAATATCAACGATGAAGAAGGTGGTGAAAAGGTGAAAACAGCAGCAACAGCAACAGCAACAACACACCAAACAAAACACTTGGCAACAATGTAGAAGAAGCAGCAGAAAGTAGGTAGTAGGTAGAGGAGGCAGATATGCTAATTTAAGAATAACGTTGAAATAAAATTTGTTTAAAGAATTCGCTTTAAAATAGCTAAACAACGAAAGCAAAAAAAAGTAATAATAAAAACAACAAGAACACACGCGCGTGCAATGTACAAAAAAATCAAACAAAAATAAGAGAGAGAGGGAGAGTGGTTAAAAGACGTGAGGCGGTGTAGAAAAAATAC